TAAAAACTCAGATATGTTATTCTATTTTAAACACATTAATTGATATTTTCAAAGATATTTGAGCTGAGCTTCATATTTTACTGATGCCCGAGGGGCTTATGGGATTCTGATTGAGTAAGGCCGAGGGCCTGTATTGTGCGGATACTTTTGGGTCGGGCTGCACGCCGCAGAAGTGATATACTGATTACGATAATGAGGCCGAGGGCCTGAGATTGTGCACCACGAGGTAGCTTGATATTTATATGAGGCCGAGATCCTGTTTATGATGCCACGAGATGGCTTGATATTGCGCTTGGGCCGTAAGGGGCCCCTCCAGGAGTCTGCACACCCCCAGTGAGCGCGGGTACCCATTGTGATATGAGATATAGCCCGAGGGGCTGGTATGGTTCTGAGATATTGCCCGATGGGCTAGTATTGTTCTAAGATATTGCCCGAGGGGCGGATTTGTTGACATTGTGCCCGAGGGGCGAACCTTTATGTACTTATCTTTCTTATTTACCGGTCATGTACCTGTTTAATTGTGTAATTATCCCCGAGGGGCGGATCTTCTATCCTTATCTGTTCTAATTGCTTGCATTCAATTGCTTAACCGTTGAAAAGCCATTTTTGAAGAAGTTTAAACTAAGCTAAGGTGCTTAAGAGATTTCACAGCTTCATTTCTTTCTTACTGGTTTTGTACTGCTTCTACACAGCATGTTGATGTACTCTTCGTGATTTCCTATCACTCAGTCTTCATTTATTTTTGTTACTCACTGAGTTGGAAGTACTCACTTTACTCCCTGCACCTTGTGTGCAGATTCAGGTATTTCTGAACCCGGTAGCGGGTATTGGTTGCTCAGAGGCAGAGTCATCAGAGTTTAGCAAGGTAGCTGCCCGACGTTCGCAGCACTGCTTTTCTCCCTCTCGATTTCATTAGACCGTATTTAGTACATTTTTTACTCTAGTTGTATTCGGACCTTAGTAGATGCTCATGACTAGTGACACCCCGATGTCGGGCTGTGTTGGTTTTTATTTCCGCAAATTATACTGTTAGTAGTTATTGTTTTAGTTGTTTAAAGTGAATTGGAGGTGTGTCGGCTGGCCTTGTCTTCATGAGAGGCGCCATCACGACCGGGTTGGGATTTAGGGTCGTGACAGTTAGCCCGAAGCAGCTAATCAGAATGAAACATGACAGTGGCAGAAGCGAACACCTTCAGTAACGATGCCACAAACTAACCACCACATTTTCAAACTCACAAAGTTTCCTTTGATTGAAACAGGGGCAGGAAAATGTGGTCATTCGCGTGGATCCTTCATGAGGAAAGCATGGTTCAAGGGCGAGAAATGTTTGTTCAATTTGCAGGGATCCTCCATAAGGGAAGCATAGTTCAGGTAAGTTTATTTTCGACTTTTCAGGACCCTACTAGATAATGGGATTTAGTTGTAAGCTTTTAGGACCTTCCTAGATAATGAGATTTAGTTTTATGTTTTTACCTCTATAAAATGGAATTCAACTTTTAAATTTTCACTCTTAAAAATGAGATTTAATTTTAGTCTTTAGGACCCTCCTGGATAATGGGATTTAGCTTTTAAATTCTTAGAACTTTTTTGGATAACGGGATTCAACTAACACTCACAAATGTTCCTAGTATAAACTGGGGCAGAAAATTTTCTTTATTTTGTCTGTTTTGTTATGTAGCAGGCGCCCACCTGGAGAACAAGGGAATTCTTTTCTGAGTTTATTTCAAGTTTCAAGTTAGTAGCAGGCGCCCACCTGGAGAATGAGGGAATTCATTTCAAGTTTCAAGATAGTAGCAGGCGCCCACCTGGAGAATGAGGGAATTCAATTCAAATTTCAAGTCAATAGCATGCGCTCACCTGGAGAATAAGGGAATTCATTTTAAGATTCAGTTCTAGTAGTAGGCGCCAAACTGAAGAATGAGGGAATTCATTTCAAGTTTCAAGTTAGTAATAGGCACCCACCTGGAGAATGAGGGTATTACATTTCAAGTTTCAAGTCAGTAGTAGGCGCACACCTGGAGAACGAGAGTATTTATTTCAAGAGTTTTAAGATTCAGTTTTAGTGGCAGATGCCCACTTGGAGAATGAGGGAATTCAGTTCAAGTTTCAAGTCAATAGCAGGCGCCCACTTGGAGAATGGCGGAATTCATTTTAAGATTCAGTTTTAGTAGCAGGCGCCCACCTTGAGAATGAGGGAATTTATTTCAAGTTTTAAGTCAATAGCAGGCGCCCACCTGGAGAATGAGGGTATTTCATATCAAAGTTTATTTCAAGTTTCAAGTCAGTAGCAGGTGGGCCTTGGAGAACGAGGGTATTTGTTTCAAAGTTGAATTCAAGTTCGGATCAGAACGTCAGGCACCCACCTGGAGAATGAGGGTATTACTTTAGAAATTGATTTCAAGTTCAAGTCTACTGCAAGTTCAAGTTTATTTCAAGTGCAAGCAGTAGGGTGCCCGACTGAAGAATAGAGTCAACTTTCAATTTTCAAGTTCAAGTAAGAGAAACATCAGGAACCCACCTGAAGAACAGGGTCAACTTTTAGTTTTCAAGTTCAAGTCAGAGGCAGCAGGATCCCTCCTGAAGGATAGGGTTAACCTCAAGTTTTTTTTCAATTCAAATCAGAAGTAGCACGAGCCGCCCGAAGAACAAGGTTTGCAAGCTCAAGTCTACTCCAAATTCAAGTTTATTTCAAGTGCAAGCACCAGGAGCCCGCCAGAAGAATAGGGTCAACTTTCAGTTTTCAAGTTCAAGTCAGCAGGATGCCCACCTGAAGAATAGGGTTGATTTTCCATTTCATGAAGAAGATTCAAGGAAGATTCGAGACAACAAGTAGATAGGATCTTGTATTTGTCTTTTATTTTTTATGTAATGGCAGGGACCGCGGACCGGAACATCGACGGCACCTCAATCGGCTCTCCACCTCGGTATACTCTATCACTCTTCTCACTTATGAACTACACGTGACCTGATTCTTTTATAGCCAAGGATATGTAGGCAGCTAGATACCAAGGCTCGGTCACCATCTTTTATCCATCTTTCTTTTCTTTTGAATAAGTATCGGGTCAGAAATCAATTACGTTGCTTACTTGTTTCTTTGCTCAAATATACTTCGTGTTTCCAAGCAAAGAGTGGCAGCTGTAAGCACGTAATTTTTGACCCGCCACGTCTTGCTACATTATTATTTTTGCATATTTAAATATTTATTTGATTTAATTAGAGTTTTGTCTATTTTTGACTTCAATTACAATTTTGAAAAACACCAAAAATGTGAACTTATTAGCACAGATGACTTGCTTGCATACCTTCTCCGAAATATGGAAAGGGGGTTCAGATACAGGCTGGCATTAAAGGAAGCGCTTTTAGCACTGGTTTAATTTATAACATTTCTCATCTTATATGTCGTTAATATTTGTATTGATACTACTTTAATTTTACTTTTATTTTAACCAATTGTTCTCTATTTTTATTTTAATATGAATCCTCGAAAATACAAAAAAAGATGGTTACATTTTATATCATAGTTTAATTTAGATTAGTACTTTAATTTATTTGATTTGACTAACATTTATTAGTGTTTTGTAGTAATTTAATTCATTCCTTTTTGTACAAAGAAGATTTAATTTGGACTAGTTCTCCTAAAGTCTTACTTTGTTCAAATGTTCAAATCATGGCCCAAATTTGGCCAAACCTGAGCCCAATAGCCAAAAGCCCTTAAACCAGCCGACTCAATACCTTTGACCTGCGACCCGTCTGCCAAACGCTCCCCATTCCAATTTTAAATCCTAGCCACCCATCTCATCTAATCCAAGGGCTACCATTAATTCCCCACCCCAAATAAAACCTAACCCATTCTCCAAACCTCATTACAAGAAATTGAACTTTTTGTGGCGCCGAAAGTCGCTACAAAAGCCCTGATTGTCGCCACTGAATACATTTAGTGGCGACCTTAGGGTTGCTGCAAGCAAGAGCATTACTAAATGTTTTTTGGGACGACTTCGTTGGTCGCCAGTAGAGGTGGCAAAATGGTTCAAAGAAAACAGTTAACCACCCATATTATCCACTAAAAAATGGGTTGGATAATGAAGTTTTTAAAAACGGGTCAAATATGGATAAGAACCATATTATCCGTTTAGAAAATGGATAACCAATGAGTAACCGATGGATAATCAATGGGTCTAACTTTTACATTTGTAAAACCTCAAATTGGGAGTTCCTCAAGTTAGGGAGACTAAGAATTCTCCCAAAAGTGATCATATACAAGAAGTCATGGATAATATGGGTTACCAATATTATCCGACAGTTAACCCGTTTTTTATCCGTATTAAATATGGGTCGGGTCGGATAATTGATCCATTTTTTCATTACCCGTTTTCGACCCGAACCATATCCAACCCGACCCGCCCGTTTGCCACTCCTAGTCGCCACAAAATGTCTCCTTTTTGTAGCGACTATATCGCCACAAAAACATAATAAATTCGCTACACACACAACAAATTTTATGTAGGTCGACACAAAATAATGACATTTAGTAGCGATTATAGTCGCCACTAAAACTATTAGAGCTTCATTGGCAACTCTGGTCGCTCCAATAGCTTGAGATTTAGTGGCGATGTTGGTCGCCTCTAATTCAAATTGCTTCTGTGACAAAATCCTGTCGCACTAAAACATATTTTTCCAACAATTATAATGATAAAAACTATAATACATTTTCATCATCAATTTATACCAATATTAAAAGCATTCAAAATTATTCAACAACCAAACAAAATATTGCTCAAATCAGAATATTATATATACTCATGATAAAAAGATAATTACATATGTACTACACAATACTTCGTTGTTCACTGTTATTGTACAAATACATACGATAAAAGGAAAAAAACAAATATTAAGTGTCCCTGTTATTAAAGAAAAAATAACACAAGATCACTTTTACAAACTCATAATACAATGCTATTAGTAAAAGGGGTGATCACAATAAAATTGCACTCTAATAAAAATACCAAAAGATATTTAACTATTTATGTAAGCTGATTAGGAGAATAACCTTTTACATCAGGACTATATAGGTTACGCTACCAATGCTAACAGTCCCAGTGCATACAAAACTTCAAGTTACAAAATGAGCAGAGGAGTCCGAAGATTTTCTAAAGGAACTCATCTAGAACTGTTATATTTAACTAACATGGTATGAGGATTGCTTATTTAGTTCCCATTTGACCTTTCTCAACATATGTAATAACATCAGGTAGCATGTTATTTACTTTAACTGCATTTTCACTATTGTTTAAACTATAAACTATACTGCTTTCTTGAGGATAATACATACGTTTTTCTTACTCATATAATATGCAATTGGGACATAGCAGTTCATGCATTTGTATAACAGAGGATATTTCATGATTTTATGGTCAGTAGCATTAAAACATTTAGCATATAAGCAGAGACGATATTTCCCAAATGATGCTTCTATCTGAACCCTGTACAGCAATATGAATTTGACATTTAAAATGAGAAAATGACAATTTGAATTCCCATGATGCAATAATCCCACAAAAAAGGTAGCATTGCAAGAATGGGGAAATGAAAAGTTGCAATGTAGCACAATGTCTAACCACAAGGAAGGTAAAGAATTCATTTGTGAGTGAATGACTGATGTCTCAGGTAATTTCTCCCAAATTAAAATTTTGCATTCACTATTTCTTCATAAGCATATATGCATCCTGACAAACTAGTAGTCTAAACAATCATTAAATTCATTACTTGAAAACATGATCATCATAATTTCTTAAAATAATAACGGAAGATTATACCAAGAAGCTAATGACTTTAAACGTTATGACAATTCCTCTTAGGATGTTATGGCAAACTAATCTCACCTATCATATTCTTAATTTAAATGAAACATCAATTAAACTTTATAGACCTGTCCATTGTTGTTCAGAACAAGGGCACCAAATACCAACACAATGAGAAGCATTAGTAGGCTATGTGTGACGGGTATCTCGTATCCAATAGACAAAAATTACGTGTGTTGCTTTAGTATGATAGTACTAAAATCCTTCCTGCAATAACCACCACCTAAATTTATGACTCTTAGCCTAAATATCAGTATATCCAGAACATATCAATTGACTACTCAAACCAGAAGAAAAGCTTAGATAATGAATATATTTTCCAAAAAAAGAAGGTGAAGCAGAGATAAAATACCAAATATGTCTATTATACGGCAAAATATTCACCTTAAGTAAAGCCATCAGTTTGCCACAACCAATATCTAGTGAGAGAGATGAAAAACTAAAGTTGAATAAAAATTAAAACCTAAGCAGTTACCAATGAGCAAATTATACAAGACCACGACTAACCATGACACTGTAGGTTAACAAGTCATCCCTTGTGCAAAAATACCATAAACTTTTTTGAGATGATCGATCAAGATATTGTATGTTCCAGAGAGTTTCTCCTTTAAGCAAATAGAAATTGGTACATTATATGCTTTTTCATTCTAAAAACAGATGAAAACTAAGAAGGCAAACTACCTCGTCATAACCCGCAATATTGAAATGGTCAATTAGGTGTGGGAACATCATTGTAACTAGTCTCAAATAGTCATAAAACCATAATTATGTGTTTATTGAGCTCTACCTATAACTAATGGATCAAGATTTAGTAGGGAAAAAATGTGTCGATAACTAGAAAAGCTAGAGTTTCTCATTTTTACCTAGCACAAGAAAAAGTTAGCTTTCCCTTTTAGATTAGGTAATTGTGGATTCTTATTTTCTTAGCCTATAAAGGTAAGAGTTTTCACAGAGTATCCGCCAGGGAAAATGAAACTTACTCTGAACTGTCGATTTATGTTCCATTGTAGCTATACACAAGCATAATCGTCAAGTTAATATCTCCCCTAGAATAAATTCACCCAAATCGTATGAGAAAAATCAACTATCTCATATTTTCTCCATTTGCTGCTTCAATTTTGATTCTCTTCGAGCCTGTACCACATTATTCACACATCATTTGCTGCTACATTTGTTCATATTCCAGCTCAAAAAACAAAACAAATCAAGTATCATAAAAATAGAACCTTCTATTGAGATTGAGAGCATGGTAAATAGGGATCGCATATGGTGAATCTATAAGAATACAATTACTAAATTGCGATAGTTCTCAAGGAAATACTTTCTAGTAGAAGTCAACAATATGGATTACCAAACGAGATGCACTCAGTAAATTGAATTTAACATAGGTTACATAAAGTAAATCCAAAATCCCCCATTGCACAAAGAAGCCCCAAATTTTCAAACCCCAAAAGGTAAAGCACGCATACACAATAGCAAACCAAGTAAACCCTAAAATTTCAGAAAACCTCACCATTGAAGAGCAAGAAACGATCAAAATAATTACGCTAGTAGAGAAAAACCTAAACCCATTTGCCTGCATCAGCCGCTAAAAGCAACGATTCACAATAATAGTCAGTCGAACACATAGGCTCAGAATCTGATCGACCCATTGTATCAACGATTGCAGGCCTTGAGGCAGAGAGTAGACTTATGGTTTTTTCTTAAAATGCTCGCATTGAGTCGATTTACTAGGGCTCGGGTAATTTAGATTAGGTTTGTGCGGAAATGATGAAGGAGAGGAGATAAGAGAGGCGTGAGGGAAGGGAGAAGGTAAATCGCCTATTGAATTTAATAGAGAGATGTATGGAGGAATTTTGGAGAGAGGACATTGACTTTGCTGGGGAAAGGCCGAATGGGATGTCTTTTTTTAGGGATTTCTTGGTATTTTATTTTGAGGAAAAGGAGAGAAATCATAAGAATTTTACAAAATGAGATAACGTATTGAAACATAAAATAACTAAAGAAAACCATAACGAGTTTACTTTTCAAAGCTTTGAAAAATAAATATATTACTCCAAGTATTTAAGCTTTTCAATATATGAGTACTTATTTAAATTTAATTCTTAAATATAAAAAATCCAAGTACTTATTTAGTACTAATAAAGTATTAAAGATATATAAGCATCTCTACAACTATTAGTGGCGACTTAAAAGATTGCAACAAAAGCATCATTTGTAGCAGCGACCAAGTCGCCGCAATTCATCTTTTGTCGCGACTAATTATCAGTCGCCACAAATTGTTTTCCAGCCATATTTTTATTAGAAAAATTAGTCTGTATTAGTGGCGATATACACATAGTCGCCACTGATATTTTATTATCTGTAGCGACAAAAAGGTTCGCTGCTAAAACTACAACCTTTTGTGGCAATCTTCTTTTGTCGCCACTAAAACCCTACTTTGTAGCAACTAGGTTAGTCGCCACAAATGGTCGCCACAATAAATCATATTTCTTTTAGTGCCTTAATGGGCACCCAAATTCCTCCAACCTTAGAACACCTAGCCGCCACCCTAAGAACGGACCAAACACAGCCCTTTCGCCCCTCCATTCTCCCGCTTGCCTGGGAATCCAAATCTTCAATCTCCCTCTCACTCAAACCCAGCCGGAGAACCCCCATACACATGACCTAATTCCCTAAAAAACATAAGTCGCCCTCCCCCTTCTTCAACGCCATCCGTTCCCACACTGAAAACACCACTAAGACTTGAACCCGGCCGGAACGACCTGCAAAATAGAAAAATGAGAGTGAGAACGAGAGATAGGGGAGGCAGTCCAAAAAATGGAGATACAAAAATCATACATACTTCCTAATCTCCAAGAAGGCAACCTGCACAAGAAAAGAAAATAAAGAGTGAAAGATGAGGACGAATGGAGAGGGAGTGAGAACGAACACGGTTAGATAGAATGAGAGGGGGGGATGATTTTCAGTCCAAAGAATTGAGAGTAAAAATTAGAAAGGGGGAAAAGGTGAGAAACGAGGAAAAAGAAGAAAAACGAAGAAGTCTGGGGGAATTTTGGAATTAGGATAGCAGAAAGGGGAGGAACAGAACAAAATTTCTAAGATTCTTCTTTTTCTTTCTTAATTTCGAGGTTTTTAGATTAATAGAACAAAGCCTCCGTTTTTCTGATTTCAAATGGAGTTGCATTGAGGTTTGGTTGAGAGATCCGAGTTCCTGCAAAAGCTTGCAGTCGAGTTCCTAGTGAGGTCGTCGTTCGAGGTTATGGATCTGAATTTTCTGTCCGCGGTTCGTGACTTTTTTAACTCAAAGGAGTTACAATCAATTTTCATCCATATTGAGGTTCATTTCTAAACTTTATTCTTAATTAATTTACAATATTCTTGCTTGTGTGTTTGGGATTTGAATGGAAATTTAGTTGGAGTTTTTTTATCCGTGTACTTATCCTATTAGATATCTTGAATTAGTGTATTGAAAGAGGATTTAATTGCAATATTATGTTGGGTTTGTTTGAAATTCTCTTAGAAGATTGAAAATGGGTCTGTGAATTTGTTCTAACTTCAAATGAGTAGACTATTAGTTGAGTTAATTAGGCCTAGAAATCAATTGTTAAGGGATTGCTTCAATTAGTTGGGCCGTGGGAGTGTCAAATTTAAAAAGCAAAATAAAAACATATTTGGATTTCTTAGGAAAATGGTCATGGCAGAGAATTGAAAATTAATACGATTTGAGTTTTGGATAATTTTGTTTTTCCTTTATTAATTTGATCGTTAGGAACATGCTTAGACCGGCCACATTTAGGTAGGAAACCTTTAGGGCATTCGTGTTTTAGTTTCTTTTGAGGTGAGAGGTCGCCCCCTTTAGTTAAATTTGTCTGGGGAAGGCCCTGAAGGATTAATAGATATTTTATTCTGGAGAATTCCCCGAAGAACTTTGTAAATATTTTGGAGGCCTTGATGAGCATTGTGGTGAAGTCATAGTATAGGTTAGTTTAGGATTTCTCTTTTCTTTTTCTTTTCATTTTCTCTTATTAGGTGGTGTTAGTTTATATGAGTCCACCAAACTTATAGAGCACCTGGTCCTCTATGATTTTCAGCTTAGAATACTAGGAAGCAGTAAGTAAAAGAGAGACGAGATTTTTACGTGGAAAAATCCCACTCAAGGGAACAAAAACCATGACCTACACTTGTAGGCTTTCAACTTCACTAACTTGTAATCACACTATTACAAGCCACTTTGTTATGACTCTAGTACAAAGACTTTAACTCAACTAACTTGTAGTACACTTACCACAAGCCACTTTGTCACTAACTAGTTACAAAGACTTTAACTTATGACTAACTCTAGTCACAACACAAACTTAGAAGGTTTGTGATTTTTGGGTTTCCTAAAACACAGCTTCTAAGAAAGCAAGATAGGATTACAATGAAGAGCAAATAACAAGATTACAACTCAACTACGGATATACATAGACTCATTGTGAAACTGATCCTTTAGTGGAGTTGTCTTCTTGTTCTTGACAACTTGTGACTTCAATGCTTGATTGACTCTTTTAATGCTTGAGAGAATATCACTAAATGCTCAAGTGAATATCTTGTGCCTTGCATCATGTTATTATACTACCAAAGACATCACAAGGATGATGTCAATTCTTAGTACAAGGCTCTTCAATGGGAAATGACTGCTGCACTGTCGCGTGAACAGTAGCAGGCAGTCACTCTCTGCAATTGCGTTCCAGCTGTTGACTTGTACTTCTGTCAGAGAGCACCAAGGGATCAGGTCCCTGTCGTATTCCTCTTTGTAGTAGTTCATTAGCTGGAGTTCAGACTGAACTTCGTTCATTTGAAATGTGTACCAAGTGAGTCAAGTTCCCTATCTGGTTCTTAACAGTAAGTTTGTTAGATCATCAAAATGCAAGAAACATAAGGTGAAGGCATTGAGAACCCATCAGGTGAGAAAGACCTCGAGCCTCTTTTGTGTTTATTTTTCTTTTATGTGTTTTTTTTACCTCAATTGAAATATTTTAAAAGCCAACTTGATCGTGTATGCAACCGTACTAGTACGGGACTTGGGGAATGCCTAACACCTTCTCCCCCTCTTACCTAGAATTTCTGGTGCAAACTAGTTTTAGAATCCAAATGTTTTTCGAAGAACAATTCTTATTTTTTTTCAAACGGTGACCTGGCATACAGAAATCAAAATATCAGGTGGCAACCCTAAATATTCCTTCAAAACGCAATCTTTTGTCACCTTCAAAGTTGAAAACCCTTTTGAGCTTTTAAAATCACTTTATTCTATTTAAAATGGGTTAATGAGGTGAAAAAAGGGGTGTGACAGGGCCTTTTGGACCTGTTTGATAATATAAATAAGCTGATATGGCAGTCCAACATGGCAAGATCTATCGGTTCAACTTCCAACTGATTGCCAGTGACCGCTTCTTTACCTTTCCAACTGAGCCTAGGGGGTGAGTATGGAAGATATATGGGTTCACAAACACCATTATGGTCTCCTGTAAAATATATCACCCTTGTCCTAGATGGATTTTGTGGAGATTGCCTTATTTGCAGTCTTGTTTGGGCTTCAGAAATAATTTTAGGCATCAAAGATGGGTCACTTTTAGGCTGTCTAACAGATCCAAAGGGTTCTGATTGTTGTCTCTGAACTCTAGGCGTGAGAATGAACACAAATTCACCTTCTTGTATTGGTTGAGGTGCTGAACAACCAACATATTCAACAACTACTTCAGGTTCTTCAACTTCAGATTCAATGACTTCTTCAATATTGGCCCTTTTTTCTCTTAGTTTGTTTCTTGCCTTTTCCACTATCATCAACCTATAATTAACATGCAAAAATATTAGTTCCAGCTAAAATCATATAAGTGAAACTATATGATATAATAGTTACCTTGCATGTCCTTGAATTATGGTCCAACGATTCGCAGTTGCTGCATGTCATTCAAGTTCCCTTCCTTGATTGAGCCAACTCTCCTTGCCTTTTACAGGTTTCATCTTTCTCTCTATTTTTTTAACCTTTGGCCTTCCAACTGTTTTCACTAGTGCAGGTGGTTCAATAGCATGTTCTGGTAACACTTTCCAGAATATTTCACCTCTAACAGGCATTACCTTGGCCTTATATGTCATACGGTAAGCTTTCTTGATGTACCACCAATTAATTTCAGCGATCGGATCCAATTTCTTGTATTCCATTGCCTTGATAGCATGGGGACATTGGATGTCAGTTAACTGACATGTTCTACAGGTGCATTTCTTCATTACCAGGTTCTCTGAATGTTTATCATCACCCTTAGAAACTTCATACCCAATGTCACAATTGAAATTCACAGTACATGAATTATTAGCTATGTTCAGATAAGTGGTAAACAACTTCATGCAATAAGGACTAAACTCAGTAGTCCATGTTTAACCTCTTCTTCTTTCTCTCTCAACCTGTTCATGATCTTGATTCTAATATCCTCAAGCATGTTCAGTATAAGCTTGCCTCTTGTTTCTAAGATCCAAAAGTTGAAAGATTCAGTAAAATTATTTTCCACCATCTGATTTTTGCATATTGTATCAAAATATGCTCTACACCAATTTTGTGGTGGATACCTAAGCAAATCATTAGCAACATCAGCATACAAAGAGCCAAGTTGTTTTAACTGGTCCTTAAACTCTCCCTCATAACTGCTCCAAGCAGCCCAGTGGAGAAATTTCTTCATCTCTCATGTCCTGAATCTCTTACTCGAGTTGGATTCAATATGCCTAACACAAAACCTGTAAAAGTTTGAAGGGTTAGTTACCGTCAAATAGAAGCCCCTGAATATATAAATAAAATAACACCTGTGATTTGCTAAAGGGAGGACATTTCTCACATCATCTAAAAGTCCGTGCATATGTAAATTTAGTAAGGATCAACTATATAATAATTATAAAATTAACTATAATGATTCAAACAAACACTAAGATAACTTTTACCTTTGCATGTCAGACATAAAGGTAATACTCTCACCATTCTTCAGATTCAATGAATGTTGCATCAGCTCCAGAAATCATGTCCATGTCCTATTAGTTTCTCTATTAACTATAGCCCAGCCAATGGATAAAAATGATTCATACAATCTTGTGTCATAGCTACCAACAGTTATCCTTTGCATTGATCCTTCAAGAAAGTCCCATCCAGTCCAATGAAGGGTCTCAACCCTCCTTTCCACCCCAACTTTAATGCATTAAAATAAATATACATTCTGAGAAATTTTCTTTTACCTTCAGTCATCCCATCCTTTGATAAATTGTTAACTACATCACTACCAGGATTGCTCTCCTTAATTTCATTTGCATACGGTTCTAGTATATTATAGTCATCTAAAAAGTTGCCTTGCATTGTTTGAAGGGCCATCCTCTTGGCCCTTTTTACCTTTGAATTATTTGCATTCAACAGAAATTGTTCTTTTAAATCTTGTCTCATATCCTTTATCTTGTACATAGGGTTATTCTGCACCTTACTCTTGAAATAATAAGCTAGAGCTTTTGTGGTAGCTCTAGGGTTATCAAATGTTTGGCCACATGTATGCTTTGGCTTTAGCGTTTTTATCTTAAATCCCTGACCTCCTCGATCTTCTGAGGTGAGATACACAAACTGGCAGCCTACTATACATCTATACATGACTCTTGTTTTATCACTTTTTTTCACCTTCAGATATTTTTGATTGGCAATAGCATATAGGTTTATGACTTTCTTAGCTTCTTCCAAGTCCATAATGTCATAGAGTTATCAAGCTCCTTGTAGTGAGTAAGCTTATCATTGACTTCTTTTTTCTTTTGCATCCTAATTAACTATAATTCCTCAAAGTCATATTCAGTAGAATCTAATTGATAACCTGAACTTTCATCACTTTCTAATTCACTATCAGTACCTACTTCAACAACCAAATCGTTCATATTAAATCTCTAAATAAAACAGAAATAGACAGAGAGGGTTCACATCAATAAATTATCTATAATTGAAACTTAAATATTCAGGAGATCTAGTCTAAAGGAAAACAAAAAGATAAAAGGACCACAAAATAAATTAATATACACATTATAAAACACCAACCCACATGCAAAAAACCCCTAAGCAGCGACATTCACTATTACGTAAAATAAAATTTGAGATCACCCCAAAATCGTAAACCCTAGTCATAAATAACCCATGACCCAAACCAGCTAATAATCGTTGAAAAGCTTAACTAAGATGACTTACCTCAATAACTTCAGATAATGGTAAATAATCTTCAATTTGTCTTGTTATTCCTCTGAAAACCCTCCTCGAAATCGTCTCTCTAAGACACCTTTAGAAGGGTAAGTTAGAAATGAGGCGTAAAATTGTTTTGCCTCTTTAATTAGACGATCGGGTCGCGGGTTACCATTTAGGTTAATGGGTAGATTATATGGGTTAGTGAGTTGTTAGGTATTTTATTACACATAGGATATACATGTGGCCATCTGTTAGTTCTAAAGCATTTATGGACCCAAAAAGTGACGGCAAGATTATTCTTAGTACCAAAAGCAAACGGAGGGTATAATTGAGCTATTTCTAATAGTTTGAGGCCATTTTTGGACCTTTTTCGGTTAAAGAACTATATTCCTAGGCCGTGTTGCTAGCCCTCTGTGGGCCGAGATCACAGGAGTGCGTGAGACTCTTTCTTGGTTAAAGGAGCAATTCAGTTGTCACGACTCAAGCCCATGGCAATATTGTCCACTTTGGGCATAAGCCCGCACAAATTTTATCTTTTGTGGGCTATGCCATTTCGAGCCCCAAAAGCACACGTACAATGTGAATTTGTATCATGACTTATAAATATTTTTACTTTCCTCCCATTTCGATGTGGGATTTGCCTAAGGTAACATGTACACCCTTTGACCCGCCCTCCGTCATGGGCATCACATTCACTCCTCCCCCTTGGGACTCAACGTGCTCGCTGAAGTTTGCCCCACCATCATATTGAGGGAGATTCGGCTGTGAAGCTTGCCAGCCTAGAAGCCTGCTAGTCCTGCTTGACCCTCCGTCATGAGCCCGCCCTCTGTCATGGGCATCACATTCATCCCCCTTGGGACTCAAAGCCCTCACTGAGGTTTGCCCCACCACCTTGTCAATAATGTGGGATTACCCAGTTGACCATTGAGGCTTGCCTCACCATCACACCGAGGAAGACTCGGTTCTGATGCCTTATTTGTCACGACCCAAGCCCATGAACGTATTTTCCATTTTGGGCCTAGGGCCACACGGATTTGTCTTTTGTGGGCTACACCACACCGAGTCCCAAAAGCGCGCGTACCAAGTGAATTTGTGTCATGCCTTATAAAACTCTTCACTTTTCTTTCTTATTCGCCAAAGGTGACATGTGCCCCTTTTTTAGAAGCTTACCAGCCTAAAAGCCCGTCGGTCCTGCTTGACTCGCCCTCATCAGCCCGCCGGCTCTGCTTGGCTCGCCCTCATCAGCCCGCCGGCCCTGCTTGGCCCGCCAAACCGAAACCGAAAACCAAACCAAACCAACCAAAAAAACCGATACTTTTTTGTTTGGTTTGATTTTGGTTTTGAATTTTAAAAACCGATCAAACTTGGTTTGGTTTTGGTTTTAATCCAAAAAAATCGAGAAAAATCGAACCAAACCGACTATATGAGTAGCTATTAATTTATTATTACACCTATATATATGTATATTTTTACACAAAGTTCCAAAATTTTTATGGTAAATGTTAATAATTTGCATTTTTAGTATAGTTTTTTACCTTTACATTCTAGTTTGATTGGTAGTTTTCTTTTGTTAAGTGTAAGAATCTATTTCGTGTTAAAAATAATATATTTTTAGTTGAGTCCTTAAATTATTCATCACTATTTGATTCAATTATCATCAATATATCTTGGTAAATAATAGATTTCTCAAAGGGCAATTGATTTGATAGTGTTACGTTGAAAATGTGGTCGGCGAAATATATGTTTGGTAGTGTATGTCTTATATTTAAGGAAAAACCGACAAATAACCGAAAAACCCGAAAAACCGACAAAACCCAACATAAACCGAATCGAGAAAAAAACGACTTAATTGGTTTGGTTTGGTTCTAATATTTAAAAAACCGACTTACTTGGTTTGATTTCTTTTTAGGAAAAAACCGATCCAAACCGAACCACGAACACCCCTACTTTTGTTCTTCATTTTCACATTGTTCTCCTTCTTTGCACAGTACTTGTCGAAAAAACTGTGATTCCGATGACCGAAGCAAATGTAACTTTACAATTATGCTTTTCCCTTTCTTATTTCTTCTTTATTTTTTTTCTTCTTTCTTTTCTCATTTTTCTTTCCTTATAATATTTCTTACCCGAAAAAATAGTGATTTCGGCTAGACAATTTTCAGCTGTGACGACCCAAAGGGTCATCACCTGTATTCCTACTTGCTCTGTATTTCTGAGGCCGTGAAAACCTCACTTGGGGGTTGCCTCGAGCTTGTGTGCGCAGTCCGGGCGCGTAGCCGGAGAGTTTAAATATGAAATCTGTGAGAAAAATTATAAAATCTTGGTATTTAATTGATTAAGTTTTACTTCGGTCAACGTTTTGGGCAAACGGACCCGGACCCGTGATTTGACGGTCCCGGAGGGTCCGTAGGAAAATATGGGACTTGGGCGTATGCCCGGAATCAAATTCCGAGGTCCCAAGCCCAAGAAATGAATTTTTGTGTGAAATTGTTTTCTGGAAATAAATAAGGAAATTGGAAATGAAATCTGATTAAAAGACTGTGGTATCGGGCTCGTATTTTGATTCTGACGCCCGGTACAAGTCTTATATGAGCTTAAGTACTTTCTTTAAAGTTTGGTTGAATTGGGACGTCGTTTGACGTGTTTTGGACTAAAAACTCTAAACTTGATGTTTTATGAAAATTGGAAGGAAATCCTGGGTCTTGAGGCCTAATTTGATGATTATGATGTTGTTTGGGCGATTTGATCGCATGGATGAATCCGTAGGATGTTTTTGAGTTTATATGTATGTTCGGTTTGGAGCCCCGAGGGCTCGGGTGAGTTTTGAGTAGGTCCCGGGAGGTCTTAGGCTAGAAATATCAGATGGTTGCAGGTTCAGGTGTTGCAGGCCCCCAGCACGGCCGCGGTCATTTCCGCGCGGTCCGCGTGGCTAGGTTCAGAGGGCCAGTGAATTCTAGGTNTCATATGGGGTTTTGTTCAGGAGAGATCTGATCATGCACCTGTTCATCAAGTAGCACACAGTGTTTATTGCCTCTGTCCAGAAATTTTTGCTATTCCACTGACAGTGAACATTGTCAGTGCCATGTTTTTCCAGAGTTTTGTTCTTTCTCTTAACAACAACATTTTTCTGTGGAGTCCTTGCGTAGTCAAATTTTGTTCCAGGGTCAGATCTGATGTAAGCTACTTTCAATCCTATCTTCAACTAGATTTTCTTGACAAAGGTCACACATACCTCGGAGTCTCATCTTTTGTCCTAAAAAACAGTGTCCAAGTAAATCTTGAGTAGTCATCCTCAATCACAAAGATATACCTCTTTTCACTCCTGCTCAGTGTTCTTATAGGACTACACATGTTGACATGAAGGAGTTCAAATGGTTTCGGTGTGATGACATCCCTTTTTCGGCTTAAAGGATGATCTCACATGTTTTCCTCTAGCACATACATTGTACATTCCATTTTCTTTGAACATTGAATTTGACAGACCATGGACCAGGTCCTTCCTCATCAACTTATCCAGAAGTGAGATGCTTGTATGCCCCCAATCCTTTATGCCAAGTCTTCGAATCATTATCAACTGTATTCAAGCAGCTTATATCACCAGCTTGGACACGAACTTCTACCTTGTTTTCTTCCCGATACCTAGAATGTACCCCTTCTTTCCATTTCCAAAGGGTACATCCCCTCCTTGCAGGGCTTTCAGTGAGAGAAAATCCATGGTGTTTCCAGTCATTTGCGTTGAGCATCCATTGTCCATGATCCATTGCAGTCCGCTTCCTCTCACTATTCCCTGCACATCTCAATTATGGGTTAGATTTTGGAACCCAAACTAGTTTGGGTCCCTTGTAATGAGGAAAAGGGTGGATAAGAGCCTTTCTAGTCTATGCAGGCAATATGCGATTTTTGCGAGTGGTACCTTGTCCCTTTTTAGTGGTCACTTTGTCAGAAAACAATTTATTTTTCTGAACAGATTGAAACCTGGCTTGGCAATTTTCTTTGAAGTGCCCATTGTTCCCACGGTGGGTACAAAGCCAGTTATCAGGAACTATGACATACTTGCTATGAGGGTTGTAAGGAGTTTTCTCCTTTTAAAACCGGATTCCCTGCCTGTTTACACTATTGTTGAAGTACATGGAGTAACAGCATCAGAGGACCAGGTCCACTTCAGAGATTTCTCAAGATCAATTTTTACCCTTTTTAGTTCAGCTTGAAGCTGCCTATTTTTCTCAAGTTCACCACATAGACTAGTTTTAACATCATTCAATTCCATTTCATCTTGATGTGTGACTCACTGGCTACTTCATTCCCTTTCTCAATACTTGGAGGCCTAAGTTCTGATTTGAGTCTCTCAATAGTTTCCTCTAGGTCAGTGATTATTACTAAAAAGTCATCCCTCTCTTGCTTAGTAGCAACAATTTTCTCTTCGAGAGTGTGCTTTTCATTGCTAAAGCCTTCTATGGTTTCCTTCAAATCAACAACCACTACCATCAAGTCATCTCTCTCATTTTCTACACTACTTATATTTTCATTCAATTCCTCCTTTTCTTTTTCAAGATTAGCTATGGTCTCATTTAGATCCACTGCACAGACCACCAGGTCATCTCTAGATTATTCTGCACCTCCTAGCTCTATGGTCAAGATCTCCTTATCATTAATAAGACTATAATATGCATCAATTAGAACATTTGCTAATGACCTTAACTTATTAGAAGAGTAGGATTTCAGATTTCTCTGAACATCCCTGAAATTTACCTCATCATCTTCATCCTCTTCATCATCGTCTGACTGAGCCATTAGTGCAAACAGTGAGTCATATTTTGTTGCTTCAGTTTCTACTGCCATCATGGAGTTGTTTTCTGCATCTGGTTCCTTTTCTGATTCGCTGGAGGAGTCTCCCCAAGCAGCAAGAGCCTGCTTCACAATATTGTCAGCTGCACTTTTTCGACCGAATCGTTTGTCTGGCACCGGGTTCCTTTTTGCTGCTTTGTCAGTGTTTTGTTTGTATTGCTCCTGTTTCAGAAGTGGACAGTCTTTGATGAAATGCCCCGGCTTTCCGCACTTGTGACAGAGATCATTGTTCCTTGCTTTACTTGACCTGCCCCTCTTTGGTATACCACCATTTCTTCG